TATCAATATAAGTGTTTGATTAATTAACTTTTTGCAATTCCAAAATGCTAAAATTCAAAAAATTACTCCAAGCAACTTTTTTCAATTACCCTTTTTAGAAAAGAAATTATATACCAAATAACTATTTTACCAAACAATTTTCTACAACAGCTAATAATATCAACTAGTTAGACCTTTTAATTCACAATCAGCTAACAGCTAACAACTATCAGCTAACAACCATTTACCAAACATGGCTTAAGTATTTTTCACATATATTTGGCAAACAAATTGAAGATGATGATTGAGGGGCCTTGAAGTTTCAATTCAAAGTGAAATAAGACAAAATTGGCATCATCATTTGTCAATAATCAATGAAATTAAAGATAGATGGTAATAGAATCCTAATTGATTTTGTCAAACGTCACCTCCAGATTGAAGACATCTTTCCCAGTTAGTAGTGTTGCCCATCCCCAACAAAACCATGCATGTGACATTGTACATTTTGTATAGTATTGTAGGAAACTAGCAACTGTCTCAAATCATGTTCGGCTCCCACAACAGATTCATGCCTCTTAGCTTAAACGTAACTATTCAGATCACTCACAAATTAACAAAATCTCAATCATATGATGCAATATAATTACGATACATTCTAGGGCATTAATTGATACTTTTGCAAGTTGATAATACACGATACTTCATTAAAAAAAAAAAAAATTTGGTAGATAGAATATAGTAAAGATAAATAGCAAGCAAGCGCATCCAATCTAATCCAATCCAAAATATATAGTTAGTAAATAGAAAGCAATAAATGAATATGAGTAGGTCATTTGAAGATGAAGCAAGGTAAAACGTGTCACAGGATATTGGTTAAGTATATAAAAAAAATCTTACTTGACTTGCTTATAGTGGTTTACTCACGTAATTATGTGATTAAGTAATTTATATGCTAACATGAGTGTTTTGGATCAAAATAAGGGTCAAGTTCGGTATCTTACATCAGACACCCCTCTCGCACACGAAAAAGCTCTATTTATGTATTAATTAACATGTGTTTTGAAATTAAATTAACTATATTTATCTTTTCATATGTCTGAGAGACATGTTCATAAAGTCTATAATATAGTCCATAAAATCAAAAACTTGAATTATTTATTAAAAAAAAAAAAGTAAAGAGAGTGGTTGTGGGGTGGCCCCCCAATGGGCAAAGCGACGTTTTATCGGGATGCCGGCGGGAGAGGCGGAGAAGTGAGGGGTAGTAGGCTGTGGCGTGGTGCAAGTCACGTGATTGAGCATGGGTGGTTCTCACCTCACATGATGTCTCCTGCCAAGTCAATTTTAGACATCCAAAAACAAGACCATTTCTCCATCCCAAGTCTCACTTGGCCCGGTGATATGATGGATACTCTTGATTGTGTTTGTCGGTTAAGTTTAATAATGTTCTCATATTATTAATTAATAATTATTTCAGCCTTCTGTTTTTTCATCGCATCTCATCTCCACATTATACTCCGTGTATATATATATACTCCACAACGAATTTTAAGGTTGTGTATAGGCACACTCTTCTTAAAATCAATTTACTATTGTTCGAAGGTGTTAGGAGCATTCTAACGTCAGTCTCTAAAGATAAAATAGATTGTGGTAATATAATTGAACACTCAAGATATATACTTTGACCAAGAAGTGAGTTTTTACTTTTCAGTCACCTCATGTTTGACTAAGAAGTAAAGTTTTATTTCTCGGATGTAACCTTCGGTTGGCACCTTTTGAGGGTACTTTTCGGATGTAACTTCTCTGAGCACTGTTCTAGAATTGTTAATTCTAAGTGGAATTCCACTTCTTCGATACAAGAGGCCAAGTAGAATTCCACTTCTTTGACAGCACGTTTGGTTCACGGAATGAATTTTGAGATAATAGGAATGCTATTCCATAAGGAATGGAATTGGCAAGGAATAGAATAGGAATTGTATTCTATTGTTTGGTTCGCGGAAGAAATAGACTTTAGGAATTATATTACAGTGTTTGGTTGATTTAAGGAATAGAAATGAAATATGTTTTAAAAGACATAAATACCCTTATAAAAATATGTGATGGTGGTGGTAGTGGTGGTGGTGGTGGTGGTGGTGGCGATGGTGGTAACGGTGGTGCTGGGGTGGTAGTGGTGGTAGTGGTGGTGGCGGCGGTGGCAGTCGTGGGGGCGACGGTGGTGGTTGTGACGGTGACGGTTGTGGCAGTGGTGGTGGGGGTGGCGACGGTTGTGGCGGTGCTGCTGCTGGGTGGTGGTTCTGGTGGCAGTGGTGCTGTTGGGTGGTGGTTCTGGTGGCAGCGGCGGCGGCGATGGTGGTGGCGGTGGTGGTGATGGTGGTGGTGGCGGTGGTGGTGCTGGGGTGGTAGTGGTGGCGGTGGCGGTGGCAATGGTGGGGGCGGTGGCAATGGTGGGGGCGGCGGTGGTGGTGGGGGCGGCGACGGTTGTGGCGATGGTGGTGGTGGTGGCAGCGGCAGCGATGGTGGTGGTGGTGGCGGCGGTGGCGGTGATGGTGGTGGTGGCGACGACGGTGGTGAAATAGGATAAATTTATATATAGGATAAAAAAAATAGGTTAAAGAAAGGGGTAAAAAAGAAAATAGATTCTAAAATCTATTCCTGAGCGTTCAGTAATATGCTAATACCAGGAGGGCCCTAGTGATAGCTATTACCTTATTTGAGGTAATAGGCTATTACCAGGAATGTGGTAATAGAAATGGTTACCAAACAAAGGAATAGGCCTATTACTGGGAATGCTATACCATTCCCGGCCTATTCCGTGAACCAAACGGGCCATGAAAGTAACAAGAAGTGTAATTCTCCTTGGCCCCTTACAACTTTACGGATACAAGGGCTATTTAGTTGGAAAAAGTTTTACGAAAAGTAACAAAATGGAATTCTCCTTGGCCCCTTACAACTTTTCGGATGCAATGGCTATTTAGTGGGAAAAAGTTTTACGGAAATTTGACATAACTTAGCTCGCATAGCCAACCAATTTTCAAACGACATTCGTGTACGCAAGTCGTGGGTGCACACGAGTCAATCCTTTTCAAACTCATTTTTGGAATTTGATTTGCACCCTCTCCTGCTTGTGAGACAAAGTCTCTAAGTTATACAATTCAAGCACCCTCTAAAAACGGTATTATATATATATATATATATATATATATATATATATATATATATATATATATATATATATATATATATATATTAGTGCAAATATGGCCACTTCCTTGTAAGATATAATATACTTCATTTTTATAGCATCTTTCCACATTGGGTTTTCCGTAGAAGCCACACCTTCTACATACGTTCGAGACTTGTTTTATAACAAACATGTCAAAAAATTCAGTTCATTTTGTAATAAACAAGTTAGAATATTGTAATCATATTTTAACAAGTTAGAACATTGGACAAAAGAATTTTTCAATCCTAGCTCGTTTGCTACGTTTAAGATCAAGCTCAGGTGCATTTTCATTTCATACCCCACCACTGTCACTATCCACAGCCTCGTTGAATGTTCTTTTTGACGTATAGGTCCATCACTGGACCTATATGGAAATACGTAGTCTTCATAGAAAAATGTATTTCTTGATTCAGTTATCGTATTCTTATGTACGTCCAAATTATGTAACTCGTGTACTAAGGACCGATAGACACTGACAGAGTAATGGTGCCAGCACCCGGTCCGGGTTGTCAACGGGTATCTGACCCGGCACCACATGGAAACCCAACGGACGGAACTCCAACATGCAGAATACTAATGGGTGAAACGTTACCACAGGTCATTTACTATGCCATTGAAGAGAGAAGAATAACAGCTCCCCATTTATGTCCCACCATGTTGTTACCGTTAGGACCCAAGATAAGTAGAACTCCCCTCAGCTAGCAGGGGACACGTTCAAGATTCTGTACTAAGACACACGCTCATTATCTTGTACTCAAACCTATTGCAACACAACTTACATTGTCTCAGTTACATAACAATATTATCCGGCAACATATTTACCGTCATTAGTGCTTTCCTTGAGAGCCTGAGTCTATCACTCAAGCAGGCGACGACACACACAACTCATTCCCTCTTTCAACAGCAAGCTTGAAAGAATGGTGTCCCACAACTCCCACGGTTCCCACAACTTGAACAACGGCAATGCCTCAGGTGACCTCCGGGACCAACTCACCAACAATCGTGGAGGGGACCACCGAGAACAGCTCCATAACGGGAGGCACGAGGACCTTCGAGAACAACTCAATAATGGAGAAACAAACCAATCCATGAACCTCCAAGCAACCGTCGAAGTCATTCGGTAAGCGACGACGGAACTAACTCATGCAGCGGCGGGATTGCAGGGCCTAGTGCCCCGCCGCGGCCCTAGGAAATAGAGGTAGAGTCCCAACGAAGGGTAAAAGGACAACAACAACATGGCACAACCCGTGCGGCGAGGGACGCGGGACGCCATACCAGGACAGGTGGTCCAGAGGAGGTCGCCCAAAGAAGTGGGCCGGCCAGACGATAACCTGGCCCTTCTCAATCTGCCCCAGAATGGTTGGGACAGAGGGCGCCCACGCGGAAAAGATTAGGACCACGGGCCGAGGGTTCCTCTACCAGAGGCCCTCGCCGACACGAAAACAGAGAAGGAGAGAGATCACCAACAGAGAGGATAGGCGAGTCTTGTGAGCCGGCCCCGCACCAGCACGTTGATGAGTCGGCCTTACGTCGACACGTCGATGAGCCGGCTCCGCGTCAACACTTGGATGAGCGGGCTCCACGCCGACACTTGGATGGACGGCACGTCGATGATCCGGCTCCATGCCGACACTTGAACGAGCGGCATGTGGATGAGCCGGCCCCGCGCCGACACGTTGATGAACTGGCCCCGCGCCGGCACCCTAACGAATCGGCCCTGGTCGAGAGGTTGCAAAGAAAAATCGAGGAGTTAGCAAGGAGGGTGGAGGCACGGGAGCAGTCACCGGAACCCGAAGTACGGATGTCGGCACCATTCTCCCCGAGTATAATGGACGTGCCATTGCCGAGGGATTTTAGGTTGCCCGCCATCAAGCCATACATGGGGACCACCGACCCGCGTGTTCACATGACGAGATATAAGGCTGCTATGGTAATGATCGGGGCGGGGGATGCCGTCATGTGCCGAGCATTCTTGTCCACCTTGGATGGAGCGGCCCAAGACTGGTTTAAAACCATCCCGGATGGGTCGATCCAAAATTTTGGAGAGTTATCCAAAAGCTTCTTGACATATTTCTCCAGCAACATACAATGTAAGAAACCCTTCTCTCACCCCTGCGTAGTAAAGCAAGACAGTGGCGAGAGCCTCAAGGATTTCCTAAACAAATGGAAAAAGGAGGTCAATAATGTCTACGACTTTGACTCCACGGCAGCGATCCCGATATTTATCTATGCCCTAAGATCAGGATATTTCTACAAGCAACTGAACGCTAATCAACCCCGCTCTTACGAAGATTTGATGAGGACGGCCAACCGTTATGCGGAAGCAAAGGAGGTTGATAGGAAGAAGAAGGATGAAGAAGATGGTAAAAAGGTGGGAAGCCTGGGAAAGCTAGTCTGCCCAGCCAGGCACCACGCCCAAACCACTCGTCCGCAGGGAAAGACCGAGACCACGAGCGACCTTGCTTGGTCCCCCTACGTAATTTAACCCCGCTTACCCATCCTGTCAGTGTCATTTTAAAACAAGCTGAGGAGATGGGAATAATAGAATTCCCGTCGGAGTGCATGAAGGTCTCCCCAAAGGCAGACCAAACAAAGTACTGCAGGTTTCATAGGCAAGTCGGCCACGATACGGATGAGTGTCACGTTTTGAAGAGACTAATAGAGGAGCTCATTCAAAGGGGATACTTCACTCAGTTTGTGAAGCATCCAGGGCAACAACAACAGCATCGGCAACCCATGAACAAAAACATGTGGCGAAAGGAAGAGGGCCATGAGCCATCCCCTTCAGACACAAAGAGGGGGTACGAGCAGATCATGGAAGAAGGAGACAAGGAGCAAGAGGTGGAACCCGTCCAGCGCAAAAAGCATGTTATTCGCTAAAACACGACAAGATCAACAATATAATTATTGATGTAACTATTGTTCATGGTCTACCCTGATCAATTGTGTTGAATAAGGAAAAAATTCCATGGAGCCCTTGTGTTAGTAAGGTAGGAGGCATGTCCTCATCCACCATAATCGTGACAGGAAATAAACAAGGGAGGTCATGCGCCTCGACCTCTACCATGGTCCTCGGCCATGGTAGCAGAGGCGGTGTATTAATTACTGCACTCCACTCCCTAAGGGCCGACACTGGATCCGGTCCAGCTAGCTACCAGACGGAAGGGCGTTTCTTGGTCAAACTCAAAGTTTGGTTACGAAAACGCTATCCCCTAAGGAATAGGGTTTAGGGCTAACCTCGCTCACTACTCTACGGGAGAGCTGACCTTTGACCGAGCCTACGGCCTGTCGAAGTAAGCTACAAACCTCTACCATGGTCTTCGGCCATGATAGCGGAGGCGGTGTATTAATTACCGCACTCTACTCCCTAAGGGCCGGCACTGGATCCGGTCCAGCTAGCTACCCGAAGGAAGGGCGTTTCTTAGTCAAACTCAAAGTTTGGTTACGAAACCGCTATCCCCTAAGGAATAGTACGAGGTCTAACCTTGCTCACTACTCTACAGGAGAGCTGACCTTTGACTGAGCCTACGGCTTGTTGAAGTAAGCTACGAACAAACACACAAAAGAAAAAATATAAAATAAAATAAATGCAGAAGACGGCTGAGGTGACGCCTCACTCAAAATCGGCTGAGGCACACGCCTCGGCCAACCTCCGGGGCTTTATTCCAAAAAAAAAAAAAAAAACAATGGCGAAGGTCGAGGTCCGCTTCGACCAGAATCGACCGAGGTGCACGCCTTGGCCAGCAGCGAAAAAAAAAAAAAAAAACCGAAGCCCGTCAAGGCCAGCATTAAAAAAAAAAAAGATCTTTGATTCAGTTTTACTCCCCAGCCAGCTCAAACACATCCGTCGACTCGGGAGTAGGGGGCTGGTGACAGAGTAATGGTGCCAGCACCCGGCCCGGGTTGTCAACGGGTACCTAACCCGTCACCACATGGAAACCCAACGGACAGAACTCCAACGGGCAGAATACAAATGGGTGGAACATTACCACAGGTCATTTACTATGCCATTGAAGAGAGAGGAATAACAGCTCCCCATTTATGTCCCACCATGTTGTTACCGTTAGGACCCAGGATAAGTAGAACTCCCCTCAGCTAGCAGGGGACACGTTCAAGATTCTGTACTAAGACACACGCTCATTATCTTGTACTCAAACCTATTGCAACACAACTTACATTGTCTCAGTTATATAACAATATTATCCGATAACATATTTACAGTCAGACACTATTGTTATAAGCGTAACCAATAAAAGTACAATCCACAGTTTTAGCTCTACAATAATAAAGACATTTAGTGACTTTGTGACACTTTGTAATTTAGTCAAAAATAATACTTTTTTTGTGACCAAAAAATAGTTTGAACCTATTTAATTTTCTTAGGAGTTGTCACTAACACTTTGGCAAGACACTCACACACTTTCGGTATTGGTAGGAAGTTTGCATACCTTTATGCAACTCTCGTAAGGAGTCTTATAAAGTTTCTTACGAAAAACCTTATTTAAAAGGTAATTATTTATCAAAATCGCCTCACTCCACATACTTTGAGGTAAGCCCGAACTTATCAACAACGCATTCATCATCCCTTTCAATGTGCAATTTTTTACATTTGGCAACACCATTTGATTGAAGCGAATACCATGTCGTACACTCAAGTACAATAACAACACTAGCGCATAAATCACCAATACGTGTTACGTACTCACCACCTTGATCTCCTCTAACCACATTAATTTTTCAATAAAGTTGGTTTTTTCACTTCATTCTTATAGATAATGAATTTATCAATAGCTTCGTCTTTGCTGTGAAGCAAACATACATAACAGTATCGTGTGTTATCATCGATAAAGGTAACAAAATACTTATTATCACTGCACATTTGTATTGATCTAAAATCGCATACATGGATTAATTCAAGTGTTCTGTTTTCCTTTCAATCGATTTAAAGAATATTTTCGTTAGTTTTGTCTGAACAAAAATTTCACATTTGTGATTGATGGATGGTGTACTAGGCTGACTAAATGGATCGGCCCTAGAAAACAACTAGATCAAGGAAGCCCAAGAGAGAGGCTAAGTACGAGACTTTGAAAGAGTTTCGATATGATTAGGCTTATTCTTCCTAATGGACCAAGGATTGGGCATATCTTGTATTAAGCCTAATTTCAACATGATTAGGATTCCTAATAGTAGGCAGCCTAGGACTTCTATTCCCCGTAAGACTCCTGATTCAAAATATGTATAAATAGACCTTTCATATACGAAGGAGGGATAATCAATTCTTAGTAATACAAAATATTTATTATCTCTATATTATTTATATATTTTTTCCATATACTTGTTATTTTTACGGTTGTGTTGACTAGCTGTTGGCTGCCCAAAAGTCATAAAACCAACAGTGATTATTGTTAATTTGGAATGCATGAATATTGTCCAAGTTTAACATAGCCTAGTTTATCATGCCACAAATATGAAAACTCAAGCAAGTAGACATAATTAATTACACTATTATTAATTGCAATTATTACATTGAGCTTTAAAAAACTCATCTAAAGCATAACACTTGCCTACATACATTCAAAATTTAAACAATAATTCAAAAACATTCGGAAGCCATTTTTCTTCAACAATGAACAAGAAACCAAGTTCTTCTCAACTCTAGCACGTATAAAATGTTCTTCAGAGTCAGCTCTTTCTTAGAGGTCATTCTGAGAACTACCTTGCCCGTGCCTTCAACATCGAATTGAGCAGAATTTTACATCCATACATTCTCACCATTAGTTGTCTCAAAGGTAGTAAACAACAGTTCACGGTTGTAACACATATGTCGGATCACTACGGTATTAATGAACCATTCTGTTTGGTTTGAACCAGCCAAGTTTACCTCCGTCACCATTGCCGAGAAGATGATTTCAGATCTTGTTAATTGACCTACACCACATTAGATTCATAATTATCATTCTTATTCTTAGGTGTTTTGCAATCAGCCAACTTGTAATCCATCTTGGCCATGTTTGGTAAAATAGTTAGCCTATAGACCAATTTTAACTTATTTGACCACTATTAGTTGTTTGACATGGTTTAAAAATTAATATAAGTGATTGCTTAAATAGTCTTTTGTACTCCAAAATGCTAAAATCCAAAATGCTAAAATTCAAAAAGCTACTCAAAACAACTTTTTCAATTAGCTTTTTGAGAAAAGAAATTATACAAAATAGCTATCAGCTAACAATTAATTTACCAAACACTTTTCTACAATCAGTTAATGTTATCAACTAGTTATACCCTCTAATTAATTCAATCAGCTAACAGCTAACAACTATTAGCTAACAACCATTTACCAAACAGGCCCTTGTCATTAAAGCATTTGCCATGAAAATTGTTTCTCTAAAACGTCTCCATTAAGAAAAAGTTTTTTATTGTTCTTTTTGGAGTTCTTACCGTGCTCCACAACGTTGGCTTTAATTTGACGCCACTAGCGATGGGAACATTCCCATCATTTTTGCTGAAATCTACCATCTTGTAACCAAGGAATCGACCAACGACAAATATCTTTGCACTAGCATCTTTACTCTTATACTTCATGTCAAACGATTCCCACAATTTTTTGGTTGTTTTCAATTTACAATACACCTTGTACAACGAGTCACACAAACCATTCAAAACTTAGTTTCGGCATAGGAAATAAAAAATCATCCAAGCCTCCACTTTACTAATGGGTTGAGGATTAGACTCGTGTTCCTTTCCACTAGAAACCGTCTTGGTCAAGAACCACGCCAAATCGAGAGTCGCAAGGTAGAACAACATTTTATGTTGGCACCCTTTGAAATTCAACTCATTGATTTTTCAAGATCTTTCGACCAAACTAGTTGGTACCGTCAAAAGCACCCGCATCGTACCCATATATTATTCGTTTTGAATGTACAATATATCAATTTCTTCGTCTTACTTCGAAGAACCAAAATCCACTTTGACATGACTCAAATAAGAAGTGAAATCCACATATATTTGTACAACAAACTAACCACTTAAAATGTCATTTCTACTAAAAAATTTCAACGAACACATCTTTCTAAAAAAAAAAAAAAAAAAAAAAAAGAGTAAAATATATATGAGGGTGTTTTTATTTGTGTTCAAAAACCAAGAAAGAATCACATGTAATAAAATTGTATTATAAATATTTCATGTATAGTAGATGAATATACTTTCACGTTTGTGCATCTAAATAAGATGTACTCCGGCATTATTTCATGTATAGTAGATGAATATACTTCACGTTTGTGCATCTAAATAAGATGTACTCCGGCATTATAAAGTTGATAGTGGATAGTTTTGATTTCTTTCTTAAGATGTTTACCATACCATATAATAATAGCAATAGCAACAATAATAATAATAGTAATAATAATAATAATAGATGGACAGTGAAATTAGTATGAAAAGGATAGTAGGGCGGTATTTGATATGAGCTACCCAAACCTATTGCAAACATCAAGTTGAATATCAAAATGTTTGACAAGAGGACAATGATGGAAGACAATATGAACCCACAAAGAGGCTACATGCCATGTGAATTTACTTAGGAATCATTTTCCACGGCCTTATCTCTAAATTAAGATGGTCCCTTCTGTTCCTCGGAATTAAGTCCTCAATTCAAAATAATTTTTATATATTGGCATGTATGTTAATTGTTAAGTCCATAAAAATATGTAATATAAATCACATACATACATACTATGTCGTATTAAAGATATTTTAAAAAATGGTAATGCAATGCTAGCTTAGCTACTACTATTACATTTTTTTTTAGTGTACCTAGAGTTTTCATCGTCGGACATCGTAATTAATCTCCTCTCATTGTAATTAAGCACCTTTATTGAGTGGGACATGAACCTTTATTTTATGAGATAACTGATTTAGAAATTTAAGGTTGCTCTATACCCTAAATCAATTATCGAACAATTAACATTTAATTATGGATAAGTCATTGCCACTCCACCACACCCGATGTTATTACTATACACTTTGAAAACGCCGGAAAGTAGCTAGCTAGCTAGGCTCTTGCTGATCCAAATAATTAGCAGGCCAATACGATATGATATGATGCACAATGTATATAATTAAGCAACGAAAATACTTGGTGTACTCCTATTTTAAACTCTCAACTTGTACTCCTTTTTACATGTTTTTGATGTGGACATTTTTCTGTGGACCCACTTGATGAAAATAATCAATCCTGATTTGCCACCTCAGGGAGTATAAATGAGGGAGTAGAATTTTGGGAGTCTATGTAGTAGAACTCAGCAAGCAAAGCAGTGATCCACAACCCCGCACGTTCACCGAACAATTAATGCCGTCTATGGCCCTGTTTAATTGGTAACATAGTTTGCTATAAGTCAATTTTAGTTTATTTGATTGTTATTAATTATTTGACTTGGTTAAATATTTAATATAATTGTTTGATTAATTAACTCTTTTTTTAACAGTTCATTGCTTTAAAATGTTAAAATTTAAAAAAAAATGTCCAAAGCAATTTTTTCGATCAACTTTTTAATAATGTCATTTTACATGTAATTAGCTATCAGCTAATAATTAATTTAGCAAACATCTTTCTACAATCATCAGCTAATGCTATCAACTCAAATTCACTAATTAACTCAATCACCTAATAACAACGTTATTTACTAAACAATCCTGTATATCTAAATAATTCAATGGCTTGCGAAGCCCAGGCAGGCAGTTGGGAATTAAGACAGCTACCATATCAAAATAAAAAAATTATAAAGCTAAGTAAGGAGCTGAAGCTAAAACGGGGGTATAAGGTCATTATATTATATTATCTTAAAAAGCATATAGTCTCGATGCTTGGGTGTAGGACTAAGTAATCGACACATTTTAGAGCTAAGAGAGCAAATATAAGTTGAGAGCTGAGGATGAACTCATTCTCCTTCAAGCTAGATAGGATCCTCATTATATATATCAGTGCTATTTGATTTTAATTATTATACATAATAGTCAATTTAATCCCCTATCATTACGTACAATATGATTAATTGTACGTATTGGTTAGCTAATTAAGCTAGCTAGGCAAACCAATTCAATGTTTCAGGTCGATATGATCGTGTCTTAGCTACTGAATTGGATGGGCATCCACTTTTAGATTGTCCAATCAGTAGTAGATCAGAAGTCACATTGCATGCATAAACTTCTTATTGCTAATTTTACCAAACAGTACAATACTTTTAATTTGATTTAAGGGAATTCGAAAAATATATATGCCGTCCTTATTTGAATTAGCGTTTTGGATAAAGTCCAGCTAGCTATGTAATCCTAACAGGCCAGGTAAAGGATCATAATGAGATATGACGCAGAGCGGTTACATGAGAAAGAGAGATGAGAAGAAAGCAGGGTGAAAGATATTAGTCAAGATAGCAGTTCAGAGCTTTACACAAAGGTTTATATACAGAGGGTAAACCGTTATAACACACACTTATTCACATATTACACTAATACCCTTTGTGTTGTCTTCCTCAACTAGTAGCTGAGCTTCACCTTCCTTGTCACGTGCACTGCTATCCCTTATTACACTGGAGTATGGAGATCTTGAATACCCAGCTTAGAGATGAAAGAGTAGAACATGGAAATGGGAAGGGCCTTTGTGAATCCATCGACTATCTGAGCAGAAGAGGGGACTGCCAGAAGCTTGATTAATCATTGAGTGACTCTCTCCCGGACTACGTGACAGTGGATGTCTATATGCTTGGTACGCTCGTGAAAGACTTGGTTTTCAGCGATAGCAATGGCTGACTTGCTATCACAAAAGACTGTTGTCGGTTTGCTCAATGTTAGCTGCAAATCTCTGAGTAAAGTGATGAGCCACTGAGCCTCACAAACAGTGGAGGCAAGAGCTCTATACTCTGCTTCCGAGGAGAAATGAGACACCGTTACATGTTTCTTTGATCTCCAAGACACAAGGGCTGCGCCGAGAAATATACAAAAGCCAGTGATTGATTTTCTTGTCTCTGTGCATGATGCCCAATCCGAATCAGAGAAGATATTGAGCTTCATGTCATTGTTCTAAGGATAAAACAGCCCTTGCCCAGGGGCTTTCTTGATATACCTCAGGACACGGTGTGCTACTGTCATGTGATGAGTTGATGGAGAGTCCACAAATTGGCTTAATTGCTAAACTGAATAGGCAATGTCTGGCCTTGTTGCTGTTAAGTACAATAGCCTTCCAACCAATCGTCTATAAGTGTTGGCATCAGTGAGAGGGGTCCCATCTGATTTGCTCAAAATGTGGCCTGGAACTATGGGGGTGCTTGCAGGTTTGCAGCCAAGAAATCCTGCTTCATTTAGGATATCCAAAGCATACTTGAGTTGACACAAATCAATCCTTCCTTAGTTCTGTGTGCTTCAATTCCCAGAAAGAATACCAGACTGCCTAAATCTTTTATCTTGAATGTGACATCCAAATATGTTTTAAGATCTTGTATCATCTGCAAGTTGGGGCTTGTGACAATGATGCCATCAACATAAACAAGGATGGCAACAAAATTCTTTCCAGACCCCTTGGTAAACAAAGAAGGATCGGCTTTGGACGGTTGGAACTCCATGTTAAATAGAGCATTGTTAAACTTTGCATTCCACTGCTGGCTGGCTTGTTTAAGGCCATATAGTGATCTTAGAAGCTTGCAAACTTGGTTTGGTTTCTGCACTTCGAATCCGGGTGGAAATAGCATGTAGACCTCTTCATCTAATTCACCATGCAAAAAAGCATTATTGATGTCTAGCTGATGAATATGCCAAGCCCGTGATGCTGCCAAAGCTAAGAATGTACAAATTATAGTGAGTCTTGCTACGGGAGAGAAGGTCTCGATGTAGTCAATCCCGAGCTGTTGAGTATACCCCTTGGCAACTAGTCTTTCCTTGTACCTCTCCACTGAACCATCTGCTCTGAGTTTTATCTTATATACCCACTTACATCCGATTGGAACCTTGCCGGGGGGAAGCCTGTCAAACACCAAGTGTTATTATCCTGAAGAGCTTTGATCTCTGCTGCCATGGCTTCCTTCCAATGTTGGGATTATATGGCCTGATTATATGAACGTGGTTCATCAATAAATGTAACTGCCATGGAGAATACTCTGTGATTAGTGGTAGGGCTACTGTATGAAACCACTTTGGCTAAGGTGTGAGGAGAATATCTCTGTTCACTAATAGTTTCACAGTAGTAGTCATCGAGTTTGCATGGTGCATGACGGTTTCTCTAAGACCTCCTAAGCTGAACAGAAGGAAGAGGGCTAGACTAAAATTCAACATCAACTTCGTGGTTGTCATTATGAAAACCGATGCCATCATCTTCTCTCTCAGACCTCCCAGGTTGAACGGGAGAAGATGTGCTAGACTGGGGTTCATCAGGGACTTCTTGGTAGCCACCATGGAACTTGATGCCACTGTCTTGGCTAGGTAACGGAATATCAAAATCTGCCAAGGACTCATTGTTTTGCTGCTGTTGTGGAGTACTTGATTCAGAATAGCCAAAATCGACAGAGATTGGGATAGTGGGTAAGGAACACTCAATCACCTCCTCATGTGTTTGCATAGTATGCTTTTCTTTCATATGAAATTGATCTTCATAGAATATCACGTCTCGTGAGACAAATGTGGATTGCTCTTCTATATCATAAAAAAGATAACCTTTGATGTCAGCCGGGACACCAATGAATATACACTTCCTTGCTCTCGGAGCTATCTTGTGCCTTGCATGAGCTATCGTGGTAGCGTAGCAGAGACAACCAAAGACTTTGAGGCTACTGATGTCAGGGTCCTTGTTGTGCAGCTTCTGATATGGACTCATGCCTTCAATAACATGTGAGGGCAATCTGTTTATTATGTAAGTGGCATGGATGATACATTGACCCCAGAACTTCAACGGCAAATGAGCTTGAAACCGTAAGGATCTGGCAACATTAAGGACGTGCTGATGTTTTCGCTCAACAATGGTGTTCTGCTGTGGAGTGTACACACAAGACCGGTAATGGATAACTCCCTTTTCTGAAAAGAAATCTGTCATGTTGAATTCGGAGCCATTATCGCTTCGAATAACCTTAATTAGAACTCCGAATTGAGTGAGGACAAAGGAATGAAATTTCTTTACAAGCTGCCTTGCTTCTGATTAGGGGCGGACCTACAGTGGGGGCAACTGCCCCCACTCACCCCACGCCAACCCCCACGCCATATATAACCCTTGTATGTATATATGTATGTATATATAGTACAAGGTTTAAGTATAAGTAGATCAAAACAGCTAATATTAACAAAAGTGAAGTTAGCCTAGATGGTAGAATGTGTGTGTAAGTTTGAGGAAGGTTAGGGTTTGATTCTAGCTTATGGCGTAAATGCATATATTTTGGCAATTTGAATAATAGTGGCTTCAAAATAGTTAAACTCTCAAAATATATGTATATACTTTATAATACTTACAAATTATGGCGTAAACGCATATATTTTAGCAATTTGAATAATAGTGGCTTCAACATAGTTAAACTCTCAAAACTTTATAATACTTACAAATTATGGCGTAAACGCATATATTTTGGCAATTTGAATAGTGACTTCAACATAGTTAAACTCTCAAAATATATGTATATACTTTATAATACTTTCAAAATATATGTATATAGTTTTGTATGGGAAACGGGGTGATGAAATAAGGAAGGAAATGAATGGTTTACGGGGGAGTCGTGATCCTGATTCTTTGGCATGGTTTAGGCAGCTTGATGAGCAGTTGAGTGTTGTGCTAGCTTAGGAGGAGGCTTTCTGGAAGCAACGTGCAAAGCAGCACTGGCTTCAGGGAGCTAACAGAAACACTAAATTTTTCCACAAGTATGCTACTTACCGGAAGAAGAAAAATGTGATCCAGAGACTAAAGGATGATGATGGTGTATGGCGTGAGGGCAGTGCCTTGGACTCAGTAGTTGCGGATTATTATAAGCAAATTTTTACTTCAAGTGGGAGTCTGGGGAGTTTCAATGTGGATACCATGCAGTCTCGTGTAACCAGAGAGCAGAATGATGGGTTACTGCGCCCCTTTGAGGCGGAGGAGGTACGGAGTGCTTTATTCTCTATGGGCAAAGACAAATCTCCAGGTCCGGATGACATGAATCCGGGCTTCTACCAGGCCTTCTGGGATATTATTGGTAAGGATGTCTCTGATTTTGTTCTTAATTGTTTGTCTGAGAAGTCTTTCCCTACGAATTTGAATGATGCCAATATTGTTTTGATCCCCAAGAAATGCACCCCCGTGTCTGTGTCTGATTTAAGGCCAATAGCTTTGTGTAACGTGCTATATAAGATAATGGCAAAAATGATTGCTAATCGTATGAAACCGTTACTTGAGGGTATGATTTCTGTTTCGCAAAGTGCATTTTTACCTGGTAGGCTGATCACAGACAATATACTAATTGCGTCTGAGGTTGATCATTATTTGAGGAGGAAACAGTTGGGGCAGGTTGGGTGGGCGGCCTTAAAGCTAGATATGGCGAAGGCTTATGACAGGATGGAGTGGCCTTTTGTGCAGTAGATGTTGATTGGCCTGGGGTTTGATGATAGATGGGTCCAGCTGGTAATGTTGTGTGTGCAGTCCGTGCGTTACAGGGTGCTAGTCAATGGGAAGCCAACTGAGGAAATTGTGCCCACGAGGGGGCTAAGACAGGGAGACCCATTGTCTCCTTACTTGTTTATAATATGTGCTGAGGGCTTATCATTGTTGTTGCAGGACTCTCAGGCAAAAGGGCTATTGCATGGTTGTAGAGTGGCTAGGGGGCACCTTCTATTTCGCATTTATTTTTTGCAGATGATAGTCTGCTGTTCTTTATGGCTAATTTACAGGAAGCACTGGAGGTGAGGAAGTGTCTGGGAGTTTATGAGGCCTATTCTGGGCAGGCGGTTAATTTTCAGAAATCAAGCATTACGTTTAGTCGTAACACACAGGTGGAGATGAGGGAACTGGTTGCGAATACTTTGGGGGTGGGCCAAGCTGATGATTTTGGCAAATACCTGGGATTGCCTTCTGTTATAGGTCGCAATAGGAGTGTAGTTTTCGCATATGTTGAGCAGAAATTGAGCCAGAGGTTTGGCTCATGGAACAAGAGGCTGTTATCTAAAGCAGGGAAGGAGGTGCTTTTAAAGAGTGTAGCTTAGGCAATGCCTACTTACACTATGAGCATTTATTTGCTCCCTTTATCTTTGTGTAATGCTTTAGAGAAGTTGATGAACAGGTACTGGTGGGGTCAAAGAGGCTCACAG